CCAGGGGCCTAGAGAAAAGGCTTAGTGGTTAAGAGCACTGGTTGCTCTTCCAGAGGACCCGGGTTTGATTCCCAGCAGCCACATGGTGCCTCACAATCACCTGTAGCTCCAGTTCTAGGAGACCCAGTACCTTCTTCTGGCCTCCTTGGGTACCAGGCAGGCAAGTGGTGCACAGACATACATCCAGGCACCCATACACATAATTTTTTAAATTAACTTATTTTTTTAAAGGTGGGGAGGGAGCTTGTTCTGCAAGCATGAGGACCTGAGTTCAGAACCTATGACTTAAAAAAAAAAAGGTGCTGAGTTGGCTATACAAACACTGGGGAGCAAAAACAAGCAGATCCCAAAAGCTCACAGTCAGCTGTCCTAGAGAAACAGTGAACTTCCAGTTTAATGAACGACTCCTGCCTCAAAGTACTAAAGCAGAGAATGATAGGGGAAGACATCCAACATTCTGTTTTAGCCTTCTACATGTTAACACATGAGTGTGTTTATGCATGGCACACACAATGTCTCTCTCTCATACACACACACTCTGAACTGTATTCTTTCACTTAAGGGATATACCTGGACCATATGCTAAAGGATGTATTAGTTGCCAGGGATCTATGAAGAAGCAAAGCAGAGCCTTTGCCTTAATAGCCCTTAGAAATAGATGCGCAACCCAGCCTCAAACAGAAGAGAGGTGTAGACAAACAAGTATCAAGCCCGTTGTGGTGGCTCATACCTGTAAGTCCCAGCTCTCAGGCTCCTGAAGCGAGAGGACCAGGAGTTTAAGGCCAGCCAGAGATATGTAAAGCCTCAAAAAGGGGGGAGGGGAACGTATTTCTAATGATTTCAAGAACACATGTAAAAGTTATAAGATTGCTTCCAGGATGGAGGAAATGGGCTGAGGATATGGGCCAAAGGGAATGTTTATCTGCAATTTCGTTTTTATTGGGAACAATGTAAGGCAGCTGTATCCTCTTATCAGTGATGGTGGTTTCCACGGAGGAAGCTTTCCTATCCACCACATTAATTTATGTGCCTTATTAACTTCCCAAAATGAAAGAACTTGTGATGAGAGAGTTGAGGGTTTTGAGAACCGAAAGTACAATTTATAGAGAAAAGTCCTGGAGGGGCAGTGTCTCTCCACCTGAAGCAGCGGCAGGGGAAGCAATGGAGAAAGGGAAAGAGGGAGGATTACGGAACTGAGTTGACAGAGAGTCCCAAAGGCCTTGAACTTCTCAGTAAAGCAGAAGGCAAGATGGTCTTCTGAGGGCTGAGGAAGGGAAGATCAAGTAGTGAGTTTCAGAAACAGGGAAAAGGCTTTTAATAACCAACGTAGGAAACTCATTAGTGAGTCTCGAAGAGATTAATAAAAGGATCAGGGAGCAGGGCTGAGAGCCAAGCAGACTGAGGACTATGGGGTTTCCATCTCTCTCTCTCCAGAAAGACTTGGGAGGATGGAGGAAGAAATAAAACAAGGGAGAAGGAGGAGGGAGGGAAGGACAGGGAAATTGGAAGGGCAGAAGGTAGTGGGGAAAGGGGGAGCTGGAAGACCTTCCATTTTCTCAGTTTCCATTATAGAATGTATGTGGTTCCTTAGTTACGTTCATTCCAAGGCCCGTCCTTTTTGCCTGTCCATTTTAAAGACAATTTTAGGTGGAAATGTTTCCCATTTCTCCCTCAGCATGCTTGCTATTGGCAGAAAGAAAGGCTACAGCATTTTGCATTTTAATTTTCACTTTGATTATATTTAAATTGACAAATAAAAATATTTTATGTGTGTTGATAGTTTTCCTAGAAAGCACAAAATACTTCGAAGTCACTTTAATATAAAGTACAGGGAAACTACTTCTGGTTCTTCTGATGCCTATTTGACAGAGAATGTCTGAGGCATTCAGCTGCCCAACTTTTCAACCATAAACATTCTACTATGGACTGTGGGCACAAATATCTTTGGTGATGCTGTGTGAATATTAACACGAGGCCAGCTGTGGTCACACAAGCCCAGCCTAGTCTACATAGTGAGTTCTAGCACTGCCAGAGCTACACAGTGAGATCTTGTCTCAGGGAAAAAACAAAAAACAAACAAACCACTAAACCAAAACAAAACAAACAACACCCCCCAAAAAAGCATATGTTCTTCTAGAAGAGCTGAGTTGCTTCCCAGAACCAAAGTCAGGTGGCTCACAACCATGTCAACTTCTGGGGATCCCACTCCCTCCCCCTTTCTGGCTTCCACACATGCACAAAAAGATAAATTTAACAACTTGAAGTGTATATCTATGTGGTGGCACACGCCTGGAATCCCAGCCCTGGGAGGCAGAGGCACGCAGATCTCTGTGAGTTGGAGGCCAGCCTGGTCTGCTGAGTGAGTTCCAGGCCAGTCAGGGCTACACAGAGAAATCCTGTTTCAAAAAAATATAAACAAACAAACAAACAAGAAATGAATAAAAAAATAAATAAAGCCTCAACAGTAACCACAGACCTTGTTTATAACTTCAGCAATATTTTCGTGGGGAGGAGGGCTTCCTTCCTGGCATTGCTCAAAATGATGAGGTCTCCTGGTGACCCAGGCAGACTGTCATTGATTTTTCTTTCCCCAAAGACATTGCCAGTGGCTGAAGTGCAGAGGGAGACCTGTGCACTGCCCAGCATGGCTCCACCACAGCTTCGCTTAGAAAACTGTTTTTCTATTTTCTTACGTGTCTTGGGGGGCTATCTTTTGGGAGTCGGTCTACCCAGGTCCAGCACCTTTCTTTTCTTTCTTTCGTTTCAATGATGCCTTTTGCCAGTATATCAGAAATCTTATTTTTACTTAGTATGTATTATTATTTATTAATTATCACCCAGAAAGTGCCTACTAGTTGATGAAAACTAGACCTGAAGATAAATACTGATCTGTATTTAGCACCCATTTGTGCACAAGTTTAAAGGGGACAATGCTTTTTAAAAATAAGAATAAAAAAGACCAAACAAAAATGTAGCTATGGCTGCCAAAAAAATTGTGTGTGTGTGCATGTGTGTGTGTGCATGTGTGTGTGTGTGTGTGTGTGTGTGTGTGTGTGTGTGTGTGTGTGT